GGAGCTGTTGGAGAATCAGTAAGCACCAACGACAGTTAGAGGATGAACCTACCGATAATGAGAGTGCAGATTTGAAGCAGATAGGGAGTCGTCATATATAGACAATAATGAGACCAAGTCCGCCCAGCCCATCCAAGAACCTCACAGAGCGCTCCAACTGTGAACACAAGTTGCCACCATGTGCGATATCGAATCGATGTGAAGGTGTGTAGAACCATGCTCAAGCCAAAGAGAACACAGAACGCAATGCCGGCTCCGAGAGAAGGAGTATAGCCGTAGGTGGACTTTGTGCCGGGAATTGGTGCAACGCAGATGTTGCGATCTATGAACTTGTGGACTGCCATCTTACAACTGAGTAACCGGAAGATATGAGAAGGTGAACTGAGTGAAGGCTTGGAGGGACGTGATGAAGTGAAGATAAACAAAACGTAGAGTGGGAAAAGTGGATTTTTAGCCCACGCGGTGATACGATAAGCCGTCTGAAAACACGCCGCTCAGGCGCGGGAACGACAAACCGCCATACCTGCAGAACTTTTGGAGCTGACGACTGTCATGCTCTGGTTAGAACTAATGAGATCGTATTTCTTGATGCGCTTTCCAGTCTTCATATGGGATTTGTGATCTGAGCCCCCATTCTTTGTGCCGAATCCGCGTCCGTATTTTCGAAGCGGAGGAAAATTGAGCCTTCAACACCAAGCCTGAAGCAGCAAGCGAGGTGACTGGGCCTCTCAGATTGGTCAAAGAGATTCTCCGACTCCGTTTTAGCGATTCCTTAGCAATCCAGTCGGAAAGTTCTTGTCGGGATCTGATGCGAGGTAGTTGGAGCCGCTATATAAATACGTGGCGTTTGGCGATTCCGGTTTTCTGCTTCGGGAAATATTTGAAGGCTTCGAAAAGCTTGACATCGTATTCATACAAATGGATCGGGCGTGACGCACTCGAAGGCAACGTAACAGCAATTATAGTCAACGAGAATGATTTCTTCACATGGCAGAGAAGAAATCTTGCCCCTTTTGCAACTTCAAGGTCTGGCGGGTCCGGATTGGGGCTATGCTGCTCTCCGTCACGAGAGGGGCAAAGTCTAAGAGCGACGAACATCTCATATTCGATTCCCAAAAAGCATCCTTAAAAGTCGTTTCTCAGATCCTAGGCGACCTCAGGCGCACAATCGTATTTCAATCCGCGCGGAGGGTCGCTGAGTCTAGTCGCATGGATTCATGCTCCTAGATGTGAGGAGACTTGAAAGGCCCGCCATGGCTCTTCCAGGAGCACATTTGGCTCACACGCGGATTGTAGTCCAGCTGCGATGAGTATTGTTGGAGGATGAATGATGAGAAGATGGCGATGAGTGAGATGAAAGGCAGGAGGAAGGACGGGATCAAACCTGGAAGGTTTGTTGAAAAGGGGCCATCACGTGACCGCATACAACTCCGGACTACGGTAGGTACTAAGGTACCTTGGCCTTGGGTACCCCTCAAGGTACTCATCATCCAGTCCAAGCGGGCCACGATCTCGTACTCCTTAAATCATTTGAGCAGACCTCGAGACTTATTGATCAAAATGCTCATTCATACTCATCACCCCTCTCTGGATCTGACTCAAACTTGCTCAAACTGCCGTCATTCCACGCTATCTCTTCTGTATAATTGTTCGCACTTCTCCCAAGAAAACTATAGTTATATATCTACCGAAGAAATAATCCCATAATATCCCTATCATCATCATGTCTCTAGACCGAGAGAATCGTCCACCATCCACAGCACTCGCTTTCACAACCGATGAGGCATCCATTCACCTTCTCCCAGACGCCAAGAATACAGAGGTTGACCCAAACTCTTCAACGTCATTCCCCATCTCAAACCTTCCATCAGAACTCCGAAATGAGATCTATGCACATTACTTCGCGTCTCTTCCGCCTCTCTCAATAATCCCCGCTAACGTCACCTCAACAATTCACAACCAGACCGATCTCGCATTATCTTCGCCCTATTTCGAATCCGACATCCTACCCTCAATTTTCTACTCAAATTTCACATTCTCATTCTCAAACCCAAAAGTTCTCAGGAACTTCGCGAAAGGAGAAGGAAGAGACAGAGTCGCAAGAGTGAGGATTGAATACGGTACGCTTTCGCGATGTCACCGTACCGACTGTGTGTTCTTATTATTTCAAAATTTTGGGCATTTGAGAGAGGTGACGTTTGCTTTTGATGTGGATGGGTTGGAGTGGGATGGATGCTGGTTCGGACAGTGGTTGGCTTGTGTTCGTGATGCGGTGAGAGAGGCTGTGAATAGCCGAGTCGAGAAAAGGGGTAGAGAGAAGAAGGCTGGGGTCATGTTGAGGGTTGAATGTGGAGATTGGACTGTTTGTGAGGTAGTTGGAGGTTGTTGATATGTGCGCCCACTTCAAAGATCGATGCATCAGCTCTTGAACTTATCTCCACATCTTGGGTACGATTATTATGGCGAACGAGTCGCGCCCCAAATAATTTCCTCTCCCGGCCACTTAAGCGAAAGATCTTGCCAAGGTCTGGCCACTTTGAGAAGCGAGTTCTACCCCCCCCCGCATCCCTTTTGATTTATATTTAGACTTTTACGCCATATGCCCGATTGTACGGAAGTACAATTTTTATAAGTTACTTTGCACGGGCTTAAAAGCGGCGAAGAGCGAGCTTGGCGAGGTACATTAAAATTTTTGGTAGTGAACTTGATCGATTCCGTTGAATTCGCACACTGGGGTACCGCGAGAAGTAAAAAAATCTAAATAACCTCCAAAAAGATAAATGTGTCCGACGCCGAAGAGATTCGAACTCTTAGTATTCTTGTTAGTTTGGGATATATTTTGGGGATATTGGGTGGCGTACCTTGCTCCCGAAGGAAATGCCTGTTTGCTTTGTTTGCACAATAGCAGGGCCTTGTTTGGATTAGTGAAGGTCCCATTTTCCGTGTGTGCTGGGTGGCTTACATCGCGTTAACCACTCCGCCACAGCGCCTGTTGTTGGAGCCAAAATCGCTTATTTGGTTATATTACTTAGTTTGAACTTTCCAAGCGCGCTTTCTTTGTTTTGTTTACACAATACAAGGCCCTTATGCAACTGTTGGACGAAAGACCCTCATATTTTCTAGATATAGAATTGAAGTCTTTTGGGGCTGTTAAATAATGTCGGAGCTCTTGAATCTGAGGGCCGGTGCAAAAATCGAGTGGGCCATCCTCGGAAGGACCAATCAGAAACAGGGACTCTCTTCACGAGTCGGCTACACTTACTAGTACTGGCTGCAAATACCCAAATTCCTGTGCCTTCTGTTCTGAGAAGAGCTTTCTGTTTTGGGAAAAGCTTTTCCAATCCACCGCAGGGTTATGCGTACTCAGGAATCTGATTTTGCCTCTTTTCTTCTCCGTATCTCCTTGATTTCATCCCATTTTCTTAGGCACATCTATCAACGCAACCCCTCACTGTCATTTTGGTAAGTTTAAACTTTTTCTTTCGGTTGATCAATCATTTGTCTGAATTTTCAAATCCTGAAATGAATGCGTTGTTGTTTTGATCATTTTTGATTTTTGAGGTGGTGCGGCTGCTGCTCAGGGGGATGACACTTGTCTTTGGCGGAGACAACAACACCCACAACGTTGTTTAGAAGCCTGAAAATTATCAAAAATCTTTCCTTGCACCTAGTTTAATCTTTCTTGAAATCTTCTCAAATCAATGCGAGCTTCAAGTGGCGATAGTGCCCCAGAAATTCAAATTCGAACACCTTGCACAATCAAGCTTGCAAGCACAAATTTGGTCTTGGCAGGCTTAAAACTACTTTTTTATTTGTTCAATGAAAATGTCTTTAGATAGGCCGCGATGAGTTCTGACCGATTTGATAGATTGGTGGTTCCTCTCCATGCTCGAATCGAGGCTGTGGGCGAGAAAGCTCTATACCCACATTCGCATCGATAATCATTGAAGTTGACATGAACGGGCCGAGAATCAACTTCAGTAATGTGTCTCCAGATGAGTACCGAGCTGAAATGGATGCGTTTGGTCATCAACATGAAATGAATTGACTTGGGATGGTGGGTCAGGCTTCCCAGACACCCAGTCTATAAGTTACGCATCATCTTTAGGCTTGAGTTATGCGAGAATTTTTTTGTTTGGTCTGTTAAATGTGACATTGGGTTGTACTTTCGACAGTAGTGCCAGGTGAATGTACTGATTCCCATTCGGGCATTGGTGAAGTGGCAAAGTCTCCCCCAGGGCCTCACCTTTCATGGAATATTCGGTGGAGATAGGGATTTTATTGACCCATTGGCCATTTTAACGATGTTTTGTTGGATCCGAGCCTCATATCTTAGAAAATTTATCTCGCCTGCATGCGCGTTTAGTATTTTTGATTGAGCTTGGCTAGGTAGGTAGATACCTACGTACCTAACCTACGCCTGGTTTTACACGTGATCTTCTACCACGTGACTTTACACCTGGTAGAATCGCCTTCTAGTTGAAGGCCAGCTTCCCTTCCATTCTTCAGGAATCCTTTAGGGTTTTATATTTTAACTTTGAAATACTTATCGGCTCGCCTAAATCAAGGCAGTCCAACCGTAAACCCTCTGACCATGGTCTCAAAACCGGAATGCCGAAGTCGCCATCAAGGTCCACGCGGATGAAGCTCTGAGTCGTCAGAGACTATGTCTTTGTACGCAGCGAGTGCTGGCAGATTCCCAATCGCTTCCCAAGGCATTGTAATAGGAGATGAGTCTTCTACCAGTTAGCTCAATATATGAGAGATATCTGGTAGAAGCAGAAACAAGCATTGAATCAGTCACCCGTAGCAAGAGAGCTAATGATTGAATAAGAATAGTCAAGGCCTTAAGCGAGGCGCTGGTCAAGCTCGAGTAATGAGCCCATCGCCACATGCAAGAGACAAAACGGGGAACTCCGGTTCCAAACGGACCCTGTCCCTGCCCCGTTTTTTTTAGACTAATTATTATAATGAAATAAGCCGATTTGCCTCCAACAACAGGCACTTTGGCGGAGTGGTTAACGCGATGTAAGCCATCCAACACATGGGAAAATGGGACCTTCACTAATCCAAACAGGCCCTGCTATTGTGTAAACAAAGCAAACAGGCATTTCCTTCGGGAGCGTGTGTTCGAATCACACAGGTGTCGAAGCAGTTTTTTTTTTTTCTTTTTTCATTTAGACTGCAGATTTCTTGATTTGATTTTTTTTTTTTTTTTTTTTTTTTTTTTGGGTGGCCAGGCAGGGGAGAAGGGTGGCAGAGGTTTGCGCGGTGAACAATGCGGCAAACTCGCTCTATCTTCAATTACCAATTAGCCTACAGTATAACAAACCAAAAAAAATTGCTATTTAGATTCAGCAGCCTCTAAGAAGTTTGTTTGCAAGCTGGATAAATTTTGGAAGGTGGGAGGGCGAGGAATAGACGATTGGATTGAGTCTGGCATTTTTTTAGTGTTCTCGCTCGCGCACCAAAATCAACTGTCTTATCGCCCGTGAGGCCCGCTATGAAATTGGGTGGGCTGTGATGTGCCGTGACTAAGCATCTCCGAAATAATTGTAAGCTCTCGCCAATTTTTGTCTGCCAGAAACATAAATCACATAAACGATAATATTATAAGCAGCGAAATCCATAATCGTAGGAAATAACATACATAGCACAGAAATCAAATTTATTTAAATTTCAAACTCAGTGTTACACTTGGGAAACCTGAATGGGATTTGCTTACAAATCCCCCTCGGCTATTCACAAATCGGAATGGATGATTTTCGATGCCGCATGCCTTCGTATTCCATTCGCATTAAATTAGGCAGCAGGAGCCTTACTTGCAAAATTTTAGACTTTTCATGAAAATGAACGTATTTACTCGATGACATTCAACATTAATCGCTGTTTATAGTACTGAAAATGCCCCTCTGCGCGACATGTTCTAGTGTGGACGTTGTTGAACTCCTTCGTATCTGCCTTTTGCAATGTCGAGACAAACAAGAAACTCTATCCGACGGCGAGCCCTATGATAACAGACTCGACAACTATGAGGGATCCGAAGTTAAGCACCACGGCGACATTTTCGAGATTGAGAAATCAAGCAAAGACTGCGATCTTTGCGAAGTCATATTTCAAGCCTTTAAGAGAACCAATATTCAAGATGTAGAAGTTGCAAGAGGGTTGCAGATTATCTTTCGTGCATCCCGCTACAAGATTGAAGTATGTTATAATACGGATGCCAAGGAAGGATTGATTAAACTATGCGGCCTTGATGTGTACATGGATGAGCCTGATGGCGAGTATTATCTCTAATAATTGTGTAATGGAACTCATTTTTTTCTACAGTCGAAGAACTTTTCCAAGCAGCTCAGATAAAAGAGGACAATTCGCCGCCTATTTTAAAGATAATGGAGAAAGACCCTGTCTCCAAAAAATCATTTGGAATTGCTTCCCGCTGGTTGAAGAACTGTTTAGAGAGTCATTCCTCTTGCAGGCCTCCTACTGAGTTCCAGAAACCACCCAGACGGCTAATTCACGTCGGCAATAAAACTCAGAATCCGTTTCTGGTAGAAACCTTCCCGGATCTCCAACACGTGGAATGGCTTTCGCTAAGCTACTGCTGGGGAGGACAGCCTTCGGAGAAACTTACCAATGACACTATGAATGAGTTGAAGAATGGAAAACCTTTGACCGCTTTCGATGCTACAATTCAAGACGCCGTATTAGTCACTCGAGCTTTGGGAATCTCGTACATTTGGATTGATGCACTTTGTATCCTTCAAGATGGTAAGGAGTGGAGCGACGAGGCTTCCAAGATGAATGAAATCTATGGAGGGTCAACAGTGACTCTTGTCATTGCCAGTTCAGATTCTGTAAAGAATGGATTCCTGAAGGAACGCGACCTCAACTACATTCCTGTTGCATATTCCACCGACCCAGCGGAAGATCATAGAGCAAAATTATTCTTATCACCAGAATGGGACGATAGTGAACGCGAATATAACTGGCCCTGGAGTAAACGGGGATGGACGATGCAAGAAGGACTACTTCCCAATCGCTTACTGCACTACACAGCTTCTCAAATGATTTGGAAATGCTGCGAGGAACAGAGATTCGAAAGGGGTGTAACAGAACGTGTCGAAGATAGAATATCTGAAACCTTGACCTACTCTGATTATCACGACATAGCATTTGGATCTGAATTTCTCTGGCAATTACCGGCATTCCTGAAATTCAAAAGGTTTAAAAACCATTTGCCCATCAGCTTAGATTATCCATTGATGTCGCACTCAGACACATTTCGTTTGTGGTACGACCTGGTCGAGGATTATACTCAGAGAAGGTTTACGAAGATCAGCGATCGTCTCGTGGCCATCTCAGGCCTGGCTAGAATATATGGCGACATGATTCGAAACCCTACATACGTCGCTGGGCTGTGGAAAGAGGACCTCATTCGGGGGCTTTTATGGCATGTTGAAGGAGCAACGCTCGTTCCGCTCGTTCCCGAGTGCCCTGCAGACAATATTTCAACTTTCCGTAAGGCTTTTCCATCCTGGAGCTGGGCCAGTGTTGGATATGAGGTTGTGAAAAATGACTTGAAGACTAACAATAGTCTCCGTCCTTTGTCAGAAGTCGAGAACACACAGATCGATCTTGTTGACCAACGAGATCCCTTTGGTGCTGTGGAAAGTGGCAGTGTCACTATAACTGGTCCTTTAAGGAGACTACCAAGGCTTTATAACAAGGAATGGGCATCGGCAGAAGCATCGATGTCAAAACTTGAGCGTCATATTTCTGAAATCGTGGAGAAGGAAAGCCAAGGAAGTGTTGCACACAAATACTCTTCTCCACCCGGAGGTCATTTTAGTCTCCTGCAGATGCTTGGAGACATAGATTGTCTGCATCTACTTGTGTTGGAAGCTACTGATAAAATTCTAAATGGCGTCAATGTAATCTTATATCGTCGAGTTGGGATACTCAAACTCTGGTATATTGGTCCTTCAAGTTACGCATCGCCTGAGTTTATTGCTACATTGAAGAAGGCGGAAACTTCAATTACTGCGCGGCTCGGTCTGCGTAAGAAACGCAAGACGCGAAAGATTGATAGCGCTGTATTTATGGAGGTAAAGAGAGAGAACTGGGTGAAGGAAACGGTGATTATAGTCTAAGCGAGAGCTGAAACTCTATCCCATCAATCCGTGGCGTTGGTTGTGAACTTTGGCAGTTTCATAGGAAAGCCACTGAATAGAATGAGGCTAGTTAGGTGCTACTAAAGCCCTTCATCATCATCATTAAATGAATTGTCTTTTAAGATCTCAAATATTCATTGCAAAGATTCAAAATCTGGCAACAAGATTAACCCCAATACAACTGCTTGCTGCTAAGCAACACAAATAACAAGTCGATGGCAATGAGTCCTTTCATATCAAGTTTAGATACCTGACTAAACCGGTCTCTTCTGTCGTACCATCTAGATTGGGACCCTTCAAAAGCCCCGTGTACTGCAAACTTGGCTCTTGCTGCCGAGGAAACAGCCACTCAGACTGATGACCAAGGTTCAGCATCAAAGAGACTGACCTCGCTGTCAATTTCTCTAGCACGAGGGGCCATTTTGGAAACCCATTTCTTACATTTTGCATTTTCCCAAAACCCCACGAGCTCCGGCAATCTAATTCTTCTGTTCGGATCAGGATAAAGACAACTGCCTACAATAACCTTCCAATCCTCCGGAATGTCACTTGCTTCTTCGTCCCAGTAAACAACAAACTTCGTTGAGATCTTCGATTTCGCTTTGTGTCACTTGCTGTAATAACATCCACATAGATCAACCGAGACTGAACACCTCTGCTGCCTCCAAGGCTCTTGGACAGTGCTCCCTCCAGATTGGAAAGACATTCCATTTTGGTCGACCCCAGGCAAGATTTTCTCGATCAGGACCCCGATACTTCGTGTATATAAGCTTTGACGCCACCAAATTTGCTGCCTCGTAAAGTGAGGATCCCATTCTCGCCTCTTCGATATCCCAAGAGCCGTCAGCCTCGGGTGCGAGAGTATAAAACGGTGCCCCGCTCTGTTCCCAGTCTATTAAAATCCAGTCTTTATTGGCATCCAAAACAAAATTGGCCGGTTTGATATCCATGTGGAATGTATGTGCCGTGAAATGGGTGTGAGAAATAGCTAAAGCCATTTGAAAGCACTATATTGCTTTATTGATCAATGGTAGAAGTGTTCCCGTACTTTTGCTATTTTCGACCTAATCGTCTAGCGTGCCATGCTCCATGAAAGGATATAGGGTACCACAAACGAATGTCTGTCTCTGGTCCTCTACTCCTCTGGTGGTGACGAACACGCTTGGAGGAGGAATTATATTTGGGTGTCTCGGCAGCGAGCAAATAGTCTGGATCTCATGATAACAATCGTCCTTCCAGTGTCTGAAATCTACAGGAGACATCAGGAATACCCCAAAGTTAACGCCTTTGAAAATATAAAGCGCACTAGACCTTGGCGATGTCCGTCCGAGAGTCGTACTACCCCTTCCTCCAAGATGGCGGACCGGAACGAGGCTTGAATAATCAACGAGGTCATATACCGTCGGCTTTGCTTCTTCGTATGCGACCAAGCAGTCCATCGGTAATAATGACTCTATATACAGCTTGTATATGCTCTCATAAGATACAAGCCATTGATCCTGCCGCTCTGTATCCTCGTAGATCTCAACTGTAACGTCTACGGCTGCAATAGAAGGGTGGAATGTGCATTGAGGCCACACTCTGCGTATCGCGGAATAGAGCACTTCACGCATTGAAGCTCGATCAGAGAATGTTTCATTGGCGTCGTTTGTTGGTAGGTCATGATAACACGTTACGACACGGCTTGGGAGACCTCAACGGAATGTGTTATTCAGAGCGAATCGGAAAACAAGACATAAATCCATGCTGTGGGTTTCTGCGAATACTTCGGATTCACTATCATTTCCCTAAATGAGGTCGCCCTGGACTTCCATACGGCACAGGAAACAACGCCAACCATGAGGGTTATGAGTGTGATGCCAGATGAGGTTCAAAATGAGATGTCGGGGTGAGTGCTAGAGATGCTGGATGAGGTTCTAGGCGCTTGTTTATTGCGTTGCTGGGAGAGGCGGTGCGGATGAGCTTGTGGATGAGG